ATTAGCTTTTCAGGGCGGCACTGTCTGAGGAAGGAAATATTGTTTCTCCTTTTGATGATTTTTTATATTCAAGTTACGTAGTTTAAAGATAGTTTCATGGTATGATTGGTTTATGGTAGTGGATTGGTGAGAGAACATACTTAAAAAGTTATACATGGAATAACAAAGGTAAAAGTTTAGACTTACTATATTAAAGTTTTTCTTCATTACCCATTCAAGCCATCTCCAATCATTATTAGGAGGTCTTAGAGATTATGCAAATGAAATTTGATAATTTTCAGGCAAAGAAAAGTATTTTTAATCTTAACGTAAAAATCACTTTGCACTCGGAGCAGTCAAAACTTTGACTCCATATATTCACAGAGAAATTTTGAGTAAGAACACTTCATTAAGAATTCTGATTTTTTTTGTCTACAAAATATTTTTGTAATGTTTACTGAAAACTTGTGGAATTTCATGAAGATACACAAAACATATTAAAATTTATAATATGGAAACTCTGGAGGTCAACTTGGGGTCACAAACTCTGTCAAATCAACTGAGTCTGTAGTGAGAGACTTAAACTGTGTATGCAGTTTTATAAAGTTTAGTGTGTAGATTTTCCTACAATGTTTCCTTATTATTTTGAACAAATGTTAAGGAGAACTATCTCTTCAGTAATGTAAGTAGACTTATGAAAAAATGAAACCATATGCGATAAAGTTGCATATATTTAGCCATATGCATTGATTCAGACTCATTACGAGTATCATATAGTTATATACCACTTAAATGACAAAAATCCATAAAATGTACTGAATAATAAAATTTATTGGTCTTCACAAAATTAAAACTCTTAAATGAATCAGTCTAGTGTAATAGTGTGTTATTTAATTGGTTACTTCTTCACACTAGGGGTTTTCAAGTTAGAGATTTAATGAAACTTATTGAACTTTTAAACTGTGCAGTCTTCATTTGAATCAAAACCTACTATTTACACTCAAGAGTAAAAACATTAAAGATTGACAATTTTTTGTCTAATTCTTCCTATGTCACTGTTTCATTGATCAGTAATAAGAATGCTGTAAACCCACATTTACTTAGACTTACCATTTCAAGATCAGTTGTATTGCAGATGAAGAGCATACATTTAAAATCACGTGAATCAAAATTGTTGTTGTAACTAATCTTAAGTTTTATTTATACATTTGGTGATGATATAACTATTGATTGTATTTTAATATATTTTTAAACAGGACAACCTCAAGTAGAGGAAGAAAAAATGGAATACATCATCGAAGACTTAGAAACCCAGGTAAAATATGTAAATTTATTAATCTGTATTTCTTAAAAATCTAATGGGTTTTGATTGTTTAGGAGGTGTGGTCAAGATTTCAAGTAAAATGTTCAATGGCTTATTAATTCTGAAATTCAGGGTTAGGGTTTATGGTAAACTGATAGTTTTTAATGTCAGGTGTTGAGCTGAGCAAGTAGTGAGATTTGCTAATTGATTAATTCGCGCGTTTATTAGCTGATTATATTTGACTAATCGATTATTCTCACAAGAGAATAATATTTCTATTTGCAGTTTGGTTTTGGTTTTGTTAAAACCATTTTCAAGCTACCCTTCAACTGTTTAGGATTAAGTTAGTTTTATAATCCTAAACTGTTTACATTAAAATATATACACAAATAATAAAAAAAAAACTGTAATAAGCTGAAGATATGATCAACACTGCTTCTTTGGTTTCCTCCTAAACATAATTAAATGTAATTGTCCTTAGATTTCATGCAATAAAACTAGTAAAGATTCTTTTCAAAGTTTGTGATACATAATATATAATTCAGTGAAAACAAATTTATTCTGATCTTATAAAAACACAGTACAAAATTTACTGTTTGGCCAGAAAACTTGAAATGATACTAATGATCTTTTTTTCAGAGATTAAAATGATTCATAAAGCAGCAAATGAAGTTTTATAAGAAATATTAAAAACATGATAACACCAGAAAATGTTTTAATTTCTAATGTTTTGAAATTGTTTTCAAATTTCATCTATAGCATGAAAAACTATATTTATACAACAACTTTATAAAAATATCATAAAGCTTTTAAGTGAGACGTTGTTGTTACAAATGGAAACTTAGAAAGAATATATTACTGTGTTTAATATGCTTACAACAATACAGGCTAGAAAAAACTAGAAATACGCTTGTATGCTGAGAAATCAATAAATCAAACAACTTTGTATACTAAACTGTGTTTATTAAAGTGGCATGTGACTACAGCTAGACTTTTCCCTAACTTTGTATACTAACTGTGTTTATTAAAGTGGCATGTGACTACAGCTAGACTTTTCCCTAACTTTGTATACTAACTGTGTTTATTAAAGTGGCATGTGACTACAACTAGACTTTTCCCTTTTCAGTGCTTTATATCTGGCTAGAGCTAATTCTAATTAAACAGACTCCAGTTTGTGTAAATAGTTTAAGAACTTATGACATTATTACTAGTTATTTTTGAGTGAATAAGAAATAATGAATATTAACTTGCTGTAAGTTTTTTGTTAAAGCAATCTTACCCTATGTCATGTATGCAACCAGGGTTTTTTAATAAGTGGTCTAACTTTTAATCTACATAAAAAGAGAAAGAACTATTAATATAGTTGATAAGAATATTTATGTTATAGATTAAAATACTTAGTTTTAAAAGCTATTGTGTAATTCAGTACAATCTTTTTTTATTATTGCCTTGTTTTTTTATTTATTTATAGATCTACCTAACTTTATGATTTGATTTGATTTTTAAAATGTTTCTTAGAGGTGTAAATACATAACATTTCTGTCATGAGAAACATTGAGTGGAGAAATTATATGAGTGTTCTGTAATAATTAATCTGTATATTTTTAATAAGAAAACAACAGGATTTTTCTTTTAAATAATAATTTGACCATTACAATAAAAATACATAAAATAATTTACTGAAATAAATCAAATCGAGTTCTTGATGTGGCTATATTAGTTTATAAAAAAGTAAGTCATTATCTATGTCAATAGGTTGGATTTGTATGCCAAACAAAAAGTGTATTTCTCATTGTTTTAAAGTAGTTTAAGCTAGAGATTAGTATTCAGTTAGATAATTAGGACTTTTTTGTAGTATATATTATTTGCAAAAATCTGAACAAACTTGGGCTAAATGAAATAATAACAATAAGAAATTGTAATGTTAATATTTCAATTATTTAGATAGTTGGAATAATTGAAAACAATTATAATCAGAAACACCGACCTTAATCAGTAGATTATTTATATGACAATAATTGATTTGTTTAATTGATTAATCAAGTTAATTGCCCAGCTCTAGTCAGGCATCTAAGCTTAACCATTATTTCTCATCAAACAATATTCAAACTCCCTGTTATATCATAAATAATATTCAACGTTAAACTGGTACACAATTAAAAACATTTTATTTGGGCCTATCTATGGCTTTCAAAAAGTTGACGACTCTACATGTTTAGATGTTACAACGTCATACCAGTTTAACGTTGAATATTATTTATGATATA